TCCTTGTGATCTATCCTGTCAGGTGTTCTCCCTTCTCAGTCAATGGAATACATCTAAGTAAATACCACACAACAGCACTAAACCTTCTTTCTTTTATTCTGTATAACTTTCTGCAAGCTCAGCTACTTTCTAAAGAACGTATCTCTGCATGGCATTCATCACAGTTTAGGAAGCTTGCCCACGTCAGAATTTAACAGACATAATTAAACAGATTACTTTGGCACTGATGGTAGCCAGCACCATTTAGGATCAAAATATCACAACGCAGATGCTTTCTCAGGCAAGTAAAGTAATTTTATCACTGAAAAAAGTGTACATTTCTAGGTGGTTCCCATCCCTAAAGTAATAGAGAGTATATTCAGACACTGTTATCAGCCATTATTATAGCAAATAAAAGATTGTTTTCACTTGTGATCTTCCCTTTCATTAATTTAGGTTGCTTGTCAAAAATATTTTTTTTAAGTTACTCGATCATTGAAACAAAAAAAAAATCCATAAAACTGCAACTTTCTATTCATCTTATGAGTTTGCTGAGGAAAACATTCTATACATATTTTAAAACAGGGTAGCATTCTACATTTATTCAAATGAGTTGGTAAATTGACCGTAGCATAAGACAAGGTTTTCTTTTTAGGAGAGTCTCTACATGTAAGTAATTTACCCTCCAATCCCAGGAGCATGAGTGAGGCTCAGGTGACTGGACCTGCTGTTAGATATACAGGAACTTCAGTTTAATCAGGCATAAGACTCAGAAGGACAGGGGACTTTGCATTTGCTGCTTACCACTTGTCTTAATTACAGGTGAAGGACCTAACAAGTACAAGCCCACAGGAAACAAGAACAGAAAATAACTGCAGGAGGTTGGGAGGGACAAGAGAATAAATGCTTAGTTCTGAATTTCAATAAGCCAGAAACTCAAAATGACTACAAATGAAGAAATTTTCTGAGTACTGCTGGGGAAACTAAGTATATATGGTCATAACAGTCCAAAAGCAGACTATGTCGTTACCGACCACATGAGTACACAGTACACCAACCATTCTTTTGTATCTGGGCTGAAAAATATTTCTTTCTGTGCTCAGATAAGATAGGTAAAAACACTTTACCTTGTATGTAAATACAAGTTAAAGGGTACACTAAAATGTAACCTCTAAACTTCGCAATGTAACAGCACACCACTTCCTGTTCAGAGACAGAACTCCCAAGATCAATTAATCATGGCTAAGACGAAGAAATAGTCAACATTTTTAATTAGCGTTGATGTATTCTCCTCTGTGCCCTCATCTGTCATGAAGACTGTTTAAAAATCTGAGTTATTAGTCTTTATTGAGGAGTGGATCTGGTTAATATCTCTACGAATAGAAATCATTCATCCATCCACTACACACTGGTACCTGATAATTCCTATCCCCTCTGTAAACTACAGATAACCACCACCCTAAGACCATCTTAGTAGCTATAAATCAAAATGAGTGTAGCTCCCATGCAACCTGGGTTAATTTTTGTTTACAATATATCCACTGAAAATGTTGGTACGACACTTGAGGAGACTGCTTATAGATTAGTGCAGAGGAAAATATATAAAGTAGTCAAGGTAGAAAGGAAAGAAACACAGTAAAACCTCTCAAATTCACCCTAACCACTGAAAGGTCCACTGCGATTACTGAAGTTTGTCAATACCAAACTTAAGCAAAGATCCTAAACACTATAGCTTCATCTGTGCTATACAATATAAGTCAAAGTATTTGACGGCAACATATCTACAAAAGTTTTAAGTTACTGAAGAACTAAAAAAATCAAAAGCATTTGTTAGTCTTAATAATAAGGTTTACTCCCCTACTTCTCCTGCAAATGAAGAGGTATTAACACCACAGAAATAAGTGCACTTCAAATACACTTTGTATTAAATAAGTTTAAAATACTACAAAGAAAGTTATAAGGAATTTAAATTTAAGATTAGACACCAATTCTAAATTTTAAGATTATTATAATCTTATGAGTTACAATTAATAGGAAAAAGAAAAATTCTACATTACATTTTATGATTCCTTTTGTTTATCAAACGTACAAACAAAAATCTGTGGAAAGACAGAGAATTAACTGGACATAAGTGGAAGAGGAAGGTGTCCACAAGATCGTGACACAAATCAGCTCTCTACTCTCTCTGATCAAATATGTAAGTCAGGCTATGGAAAAAAAAAATCTAGGGGAAGGAAGAAAGAATGAAAAATAAAACTAAGCACCCAGGAGGAAGACAGTCACACTTAATAAACTGGTAACAAACTGGTCATTTTAATAAACTGATACCATTCTGAAGTTAATTATCCTGCTTTAAACAGACTCAGTAGCTTACTGCGTTTATACTTATAAACTCCTGCAATGTACAATTACATTTAATTATTACATTTAACAGAATAACTACAAATTGATAAAAAAGAAGCCCACCAATAAATCATGTAGTTTTATAGATAATTTAACAGCTGGTACTCAATTATGCACCATATACTACTATATACCTGTATATACTGTATATCTGGTTATACATTTGCATTCAATGACAAAATTACCAAAGGAAATTATTTTCATTCTATATAATTCAGGTGTACAGTTTTCTATACTATATTGTGAAGAAAAAGACTTTTCAATGTTCTCTTCCAAGCTCTTTTTTTAACTATAGCTTTATTCCTATTTCTGAAGCACTGCAGCAGAAATCTCAGCTGTATTTACCCCAAAATGGAAATACACACATTTCTTTCAAACCATATTAGTAACAGAAAACAGTTAAATGAGAGCCTGCTTAAAACAACAGCACTACATTTAGGCCAAGATTTCCAAACGGGTGGTTTTATCTGGGCTTGCAAATTCTTATCTAGGTATACATATATCAGTCCAGTGCTTTCCAGTTGCTATGAATGAAAATAACTGCACTCTTAGCAATTTTTTAAAACTTTTATCAGAAATAAAGTTAAGTGTCAGAATAAATTGTGTGTGGATATAGATGTTTGCAGTCTTTAAGTCAGCATATCTGGCTATTTTCCTAGAACACATGTATAGCTCAAAACCCGAATACAATCCTGAGACAGAAACTACTGGCTGAAAGTATTTCTCCTGTATGATGCATGAGGGCAAACAAGTTCGTTAATTCATCAAATAGTTTTCCTTGGCTTTAAACCTATAAAGCTCTTGCATTGCATCCAAGCATCTTATCATATATCACATATTCTTCTATTATAGAATTCAGAAAAGTAATGCACTTCTGAAGGCTTAATTCTTTTTTGAAGTGAAAATAAAGCAAAATATGACCTTTATAAACAGCATCCTCTGCACACTTGATGTGCAACAACATCCCTAGGATCACATGAAAGCAATAGCTGCTTGCTTTCTTTATACACAGCTCCTGAAGTAAAAAAGAGGCAGCAAGCACAGTTTCCTCAGCTGCTATTTTCATCAGATGAAATCACTTTCACGAGTCAGCATCAGCCTTTATTTGCAAGCCTACCTACAAAATCATATTCTATTTGCAGATGCTTCCAAGAAAATACTTGGATTTTAAAGAACTGCAAGCATATATATGAGAAATAAATATATATTTAAGGTATATCACAGAAATACAACTCCTTCAAACGAAAACCAGTGTCTGATTTTCTACCTCTGTGGTGCCATTCCAGCAAAAGAACATTATTAATCCTATGTTACAGTGTATCTTACTGTAAATACTTCTTAGGAAGTATTGCAGAACTCCAGCTAGGAAGTCCAATTTTGGGGCAAAATACAAATCAGTGAAAAGTATTTTTCACTTGAATTTCAACAGAATCTATATTATTGACTCTGGTCTCCTAGAGTACAACACTGTCTATGTTATACTTTCAGAAGTACTATTTATATATTGTAACTCTAAGAGTTTCTCTGTTTTCCTCCCAGAAAATAAGTAGTCTTTCATAATCGATGTTATAAAATGTTACTGAATCACAGTAGCAACGCTACAGTTAATTTTTCTGAATGTGTTGTCTTTACATTGTTTTCAAATATTTTTAAACAATACTAACTTGCTGGATGAGGTATTTTTTCAGGTACGTTGATGACACAGACATTGTGACATGGACACAAATTACTTGAAAGTCAAAAAAATCAAATCTGTTTTTGCTGTTCAAATAAACACATTTACCCTGTAAATTAAATTTAAAAAATCTGTATCTGCTTCCACCACTTTGTTTCTAAAATTGCTTTAAGTTGTTTTTATTACCTTCAATAGAAAAGGGGTAAGAAAGACAGGATCAAGGCTTCAGATATGCTAGTAAGGATGCTTCTGTAAGACTTCTTAGCTAGAAATGGGGGAATTTGGAATCCATCTAATCAGGAAAGTAACTAGGTGATATTTACTGAAAACAGAATATTTTGGTGGTCGGAAGAAAATCACTCTATCACACTTACGTGATCAACAAGAGGACAGCTTAAAAAAAACATGTACCCAGAAAACAGGAAAGGAGTAACCTTGTGCAAAACTACAGATAGCAGGCAAAAAAAGCCTAATAAGCAACTCATAAATATTATGCCTAGTGCCTAGCGTAGTTATTTTAAATAATATATATCAGTACTTAATTAAGCAGTCTCTTGGCATACAGAACCATGAAATATACCTTTTATTAGATCCAGGAATGCTTCCCAGTTCTCCGTTCTAGATGCACACCATGGCTATATCCTGATACCCTACCAAATTCAAACGTGGGTGAGAGAGATCTCTCTACTCCCGTGTGCTGCTCTCCGAGTACAGAAAACACCGGCAGCAAGGCTGCAGGCCAGGCAACGCGTGATGCAGCAAGTTCCTCAACCTAACCGCCCAGATCTAGAATCCTGACAGAGACCGAAATATCTCATCTCTACAGAGCAACAACATGCAAGACAGCACTGTTCCGTTTTACTGAAGGCATATGTCCTGTGCTATTTCTTCAACAGACACCCACCACATTCGGAGTATTTCAATTAATATACGAGTAACTTACTTTTATTTCCAACCAGGGCCACAAGTGGCTGTGTTTCTGAGTCTTCATTCACCTTTTTTACGACATTGTACCAGTCTTCTAGATTTTCAAAACTCTGGCCATTGGTAATATCATAAACCAAGAGAATACCCTAAATATAAAGATATATTTAAAACATTACAGGTTGTAAAAATAGTTTAACATGGTAAAAATTGCATCAGTCTAAATTATTATCATAAAATAGAGCTTTAACAAATAACGACACTGTATCTTTTGAGGAATAATTAAAGGAATCGTAAGTTTCTATAATAAACACATTTTACTGTAGTATTTCTCCCGCATTCCATGTGTTCCAAATTCAGATGCTAACTGATCTACAAGGGCAGAAAAAAGGCAATTCAGTAAAGAGCACAATTACTTATACTAGAAATATTCCAAACTACATATGCTTTATCAAAAATCCAAAAAGCATGTCACAATAACAGTAAGAATTAAAACCATACTGGAGAAAGACTTCTATTTTAACTAATATTATTCATTCCCTTTTTGAATAAAATGGAAAATAAAAGCATTTAATCACACATTTCTGCATATTGCCTGACTGTCATGTTTCTGCTCTGCTTTGAGGAGAAAGGCCAGATCTCCTCCTTCACTGTTGAAGACAAGCAAGAAGAACTGGCAAGCTTTTAACTTTCAAAGGAGAAATTAAAGATGTGGTCAGAAGTCAAAAAGAAGGGAGTCCCATGTATTTCAGGGGTTTGGGGCCAGGCTACAAGTAACAAATACTCAAAGGAGCCATTACTGGTGATTCCTCAGGGCCAATAGCCAATCTTATAAAGCACAGCCTATTAACAGACCAAATATCCACCTTCTCCCCCTCATTATTCTAAGAGCTCCTCTCACAAATCAATCTCCTCTCAGTTACTGAATCTTCTGCCCCTGTTTTGTGCTACACCCTAATAAAGTTAAGTATTTTGTAACTGAAGAATAAAGTAAGAATTTGCTTCAGTTGCACATGTTCTCATGGAGTTCACGTTTGGAAAAAAAAAAATCCCTGCAACTGCACACTGTTGCTCATATGAAATTTTCACAAATACTCTGAAAAATCCCAATACAACGCCTGCAAAATTAGCTGGTTCAGTGACTCACTGTAAATAAAAAAAATTTTCCACATTTCTTCAGACATTTGTCTGGACCTAGCTTTACTTTATAGTCTCATAAGAAGTGTGTTCAATCATAAAATAGAATGCATCCTTATTAAATTAATTTCACAGATGACAACAAACTGGCAGAGACTGCAAGATTATTTGAGGATAATTTAGATTACATGATGAGAAACAATCTAAAAATAATAGGATTCAATTCAGTAAGTACCATAACAAGTTCAAAGTAAGCAATAATTAGCTGCACAACAGGAAACATGTAGCTTTGTAGCAGGTTCTATACAATAGGATCAAGGAACTATAGTAGATCATAGCTGAATGTGTCAAGCTTACTTTGTAGAAAAAAAGGCAAATATCACACTGGCATGATACACGATGCATCCAGCTTTGGACACCGAATGTCAGGAAAAAGGTAGACTAGAAAAGACCAATAACAATACCAAAGGTTTAGAAACCATGACTGACATCAAAAAATTTGAATAAAATGAACTGTTGCAACAAACACAAGGCTGATGGCAGGCGTGATGATGCTGGAAAAAGTTTCAAGAGAAGTTAACAGGAGTTCTCCTTTTCTATGCTCTTACACATAGTTTGCAGATGACACGAAATTGGGAGGACCAGCCAATACATCTGGGGGCAGGGCTACTATTCAGAGATACGCAGACACGCTCAAGAAACGGATGAAGAGGAACCCTTCAACACTGAATAAGGTCAGATGCAAAGCCCTGCAGCTGGGGAGGAACAAACCATAGGGGCTGGGGGCACTGACCAGCTGGGGAGCAACTGAAAATGACCTGTTGGTCTTGGTAGACAGCAAGTCAAATGTGAACCAGCAATGTTCCCTGGCTGCAAGGATGGGCAATGTGAACCCAGGCTGTGCTGGCAGCCACTAGACCAAAGGATCTATTCCCTTCTACTCAGCACTTGTCCTATCCTATCTAAAGTAATATATCTAGTCTTAGGCTCCTCAAGACATCATTAAAGCAGAGTGAGTTCAGCAGAGGGCCACCAAAATGATCAGAGGCTGGACAAATTGTCCTATGAGGAAAAGATGAGGGAAAAAGTAGCCCTGTGAGAAACTAAAAGCAGCCTTCCCATACCCACGAGGAAGCTATGAAGGAGACAGAGCCAGGCCCCTCACAGAAGTCAATGGCAAGAAAATGAAACACCACAGGCATAAGTCGAAACAAGAGAAATTCACACTAGACATAAGGAAAAGGGTTTTTTCACCACGAGGGGAATCAGGTAGTGGAATAGGCTGCCCAAAGAGGTTGCTCAGTCTCCATCCTTAGAGGTTTACAAGAAGGAAGCGGATAAAGACTTGAGCAGCCTAGTCCCATCTCAGCTGACTCTACTCCGAGTAGGAAGTTTGAGGAGAGACATCCTGAGATGCCTTCCACCTTGAACATTCTTACAATTCTGTGATCTGCAACATGTAGTAGTAGGTTCAACTTACAGCAAAAAGATTGTAACAAGGGCATGTATTAGAAAAAAAAACTTGTAGACAATAAGAATACTCAGAAATATACCACCTTCAGGGATAGTAGTCACCAACACTGGAGGACTTTTGAAGATTGATAAAAATGAAATAGGCATTATACCGTGTAGCTTCAGAAGAAGGCAACAGATCCTATTGAGATCTCTTCAATTCCTACTTCCCTATGACTGCAATACAAATCTCTTTTCCTTCCATGTCATCAACTCCTCGACAAAATCAGTTCTTGTTCCTTATATTTACGTCTGCTACTAATTTCTAAAAAACAGCTTTCACCAATTCCTTCAAGGAAATTAAGACTTAAGGCACCCATCTTTTCCTTTACTATCTTTCCTCCTTTACTGATCAAATCTAATATTAAACAATCCACTTCCCTCTTCCAACTTTTGTACAATTTATTCCTTAATACTTGCATCTCAGTTAACTTCTCCTGACTATTTTCATAACTACCCAAATTCCTATGCACGTATATATCTCATAATATAAGCTTTGCTATAAGAAGGACATATTGATGTTATTACATGCTCAGTGGAAAAGAAGAAACTCAAGCTGAAGGACAGGTATTGTAAAGGTTTAAAAAAGAATATAAAAGGCTGAAAGTGGTAAATTAGAGCATCTGACAGGTTTCTTTCACCATTGGTCAAGTTCTCTTACCAGCCTGCAGAAAAGCAGGGCAGACTATTTAAACCACTTTCCGCTCCAAAGGAGTTTAATAAGAGTAAGATGCAAGAGAAAGACAACAGCACCTGAGCATTTAAGGTTGGCCAACCTTGTTTCTAACTATCTCTTCATCAAAATGCTACTCTGCTACATATCCTCTAGCCAACTGCAGCCTATTAACACTTTTGGAATAAAGGGTATTCATAGTAGATTTACCATGAAAAAAAACACTATTGAATAAAGTTAGCAGCTAGCTCACCTAACTTCCTTTTGGTTCCCTTCTCCATGATCTAAAATATTGTCTCTAAAGCACATTCTTTTCTTAACCATCCTTTTTTTGAACCTTGTCAATATTTGCTATACTTAAGAAACAAAGATGGCAGATACAACATCCTAGAGATATAAAAAAGACAGTATGGCATGCAAATCATAAAGAATACTTCTTGCTTAGATCTGTGCCATAACAGCATTGTGAGAGTGACAGAGCACTGGCACAGGCTGCCCAGAGAGGCTGTGGAGTCTCCTTCTCTGAAGACTTTCAAAACCTGCCTGGACGTGTTCCTGTGCGACCTACTGTAGGTAATCCTGTTCTGGCAGGGGGGCTGGACTAGATGATCTTTTGAGATCCCTTCCAATCCCGAACATTCTGTGATAAGCAACTTCATGTGATATAAGTAATTAATGAAGGACTAGACATAACTCCATAGAGAACATTTATTTCACTTTTTTTTTATTTAACGTAGAAACCTTATCATTGCTTCCACAAAAATACATCATATTTTCCACAAACTTACAGTATATGGAATACAGAACAAGTAGACAGCATAAAAGCTGTTGTTTCCCTATTATGCATGAAGAATTAAGGTGGAAAACTAACACTGGCCTTTTTACACAAAAGCAGTGCACTTCCCTGACATGAAAAAGGTTTGAAACGCATGGTGGACAACATGCCAAGAACAGCAAGTTAATTCTCTAGTCTCTAGCAACGTGGCAAATAGTCCCTGCTTGCATAATTGCACTCCAGTAAGAGACATTTTGCCTACATTAGCGCATATGTGAGTGCTTTTTGTTTTGGAATTACAGAGTATTTTCAAAAATAGGTCACTGGAAACTGAGAATATTGCAGAAATTATTTGCTGGTCTCTAGAGAAGGTAGAGTCTGCAGTACTCTTATTCTATTAACAAGCCAATTTACGAGGTGGTGTATGCCAGCTCTTAAAGATACTTTACACTAGGTATGTGGGTAGGGGCAGCAATTACAGGTAAGAGATGGCAGCAGTTCTGAAACATTTATCATGCAAACAGCAGCAGTGTTATTATACAGCAGAACTACTGTTATGGAAGTGTTATAACCAGGCAATATATTCACACTGGATAATCAATACTCAAAGGTGTCAAGTTTATGTCAAAATTTGTCACAATAAAAGAAAGCTACAGAAAACACTAATTAAAATCATATGTTTTCTTCTTCAGGTTTATCCTCAGTTGCCCTCATCCTATGACTGACTTTATTATGAAGGAACTAAATTAACTTTCAAATTTTCATTAATATTCATTAAATATGTCAGACCAAAATTCTGAGATATTTTTTCTAGTCACAGAATATTCACTTCAGCAAAGAGTAACTTCATTATATCTTGCACATCTGCAGAAATGCTATTTCTACAAGTCAAATCAGTTTACAGTCTACATATACTCTGCCACTGTTGTCTTTGCTGATACTGAGGATTTGGTCACTCAAGTGAGTTGCCACAACTGAATGAACTACTGTCTATCAGTTCAGCCGACAAAACTGTTACTCTAACCTTCTCTCAATTCTGAGGTAAATATATCCATTTCAATCAACACTACTAGAAAGCTGCTTATTAGGACCTTTTGTTAATAAAGATTAAAGAGCTCTCTTTACCCACAACTTCTAGAGTTCTGACCCATCAGTGAAACTCAGCTACTGAGATGGGATACGGCAACTATATTGTTCTGGATGAGAAACACCAGAGAAAAAAACAGGGGAGGGGGGGGAACCAACTGCTTCATGACATCAAGTGAACTGTAATTTCTTCAACTGCAACCACACAAGCAAATTAAGTTCTCATCTTCAAATAAGGCATTCTTATTTTAAAACATGGTAAAAGAAACCAAGAATCTCAGACAAAAAATGGCACCTTCAGAGTAACTTAACCAAAAGATCTATCCTAGAGAACAGATTCAGATCTCATTCAAAGAGAATGAAACCTCCAGTGGCAAGGTGTGAAGTGTAGATGGATGCCCCACTTACTCCTCCTGGTATTTTCATCAAATATCAATTGAGATCAACTGAACTGCAGGTAACCTTTTCAGTTGCTGTAAATTCTCAAAGCTTCCATCTCCAGCTGGTCATATTGTAAGTAGGTCTACCAAGAATTCAGCCACTTGCGATTTCTGAATCTCATGATGATCAACCAGATGAAATCTATACAAACCTATGGGTATCAGCAAATACCCAACAAAAGCATGATGCATACTGTAGGCACGCTGCAAGCTGTTCTACACAGGTTCTTTAAATCTCAATTATTTAGATTTTAAAGAATACATGCATAGGAACAAAATTTCTGCAACAGATCCAAATAATCTACTCTACATGCCCAGCCTGTGTGCTTTATAAACAAGTTGGTTAAAATCCCAGTTGCACCACACACAACGACCAAGTGCAACACACCACACGTACAGATAGTTCTTTTGCAGCAATCTTCCCTAGTTACTCCAATATTTTAAAGGCTTTTGTCTACTGGGGAGTCCAAAATCAAATACAGTACTCCAAATGTCAGAGAGGATGATACTCACGTTCTTTGATTTGCCTACTTCACTCTTACTAATGCAGCCTAGTACTCAGTTACTTTTACTGTTGCAAGGGTGCATTGCTGACTTCCATTGAACTCTTACTTTTCCCAGTAGAAGATCCCATCTCCTCTTCTCCAAAGATATTTCACAGAATGACTGAGTTTGGAAAGGACCCGTAAAAGTTGCTTGGTCCAATACCCCGATCAAGGGGTGTCACCTAGAGCTGGCTGCCCAGAACCACGTCCAGATGGCTTCTAAGTATCTCCAAGGATGGAGACTCTACAACCTCTCTGGGTAACCTATGCCAGTGCCTGGTGATGTTCATAGTTAAAAAGTGTTTCCTGATGTTCAGAGAGAACGTCCTGTGTTTCAGTTTGTGCCCGCTGCCCCTAGTCCTGTCACTGAGCACCAGAGAAGAGTCTGGCTCTCCCTTCTTTGCACCCTCCCTTCATGTATTTATACACATTGATAAGATCCCTCTGAGTCTTCTCTTCTCCAGGTTGAACAGTCCCAGCTTTCAAAGCTTTTCATCATATAGACGAGATGCTCTGGACCAGTAATCAGTTTCATGGCCCTTCACTGGATGCTGTCCAGTTGATTCCCAGACAGTTGATTCTCAGCCTGTAAAAAGTGATTCTGTGCCAGGTGCAGGACTTCGCATTTGTCTTCAGTGAGCTTTACAGGGTTTCTGTTGGTCACATCCTTCAGTTGGTCATAGTCCCTCTCAACAGACAGCCCTACCCTCCAGCATATCGCCCATTCTTCTGCATTTTGGTGTCATCCGCAAACTTACAATGTTTCGCACCACTGTTCAAGGAGTTAATAAAAGACATGACCCTAGTACCAAGCCCTAAGGAATACCACTTAGAATCAGGCACCAGTAAGACATGGATCATCTCCCTTTAAGTTCAGCTGTTTATTGAGTTTTCCAGTCACTTATGGTCCACTCATACATTCTGAATCTCTACATTTCACCTGTAATATTACAGGATATTATGTCAAAGGTCTTGCTGAAGTCAAAGTAAATGACACTCACTGCTCTCATCTCCACAGAGCAAATCATCTAACCTCAGAAGGCAAACTAGTTCCTTGGGCACAATTTACCCTTGCTAATTCATGCTAGCTCTTCCTTATTACTTTCTTGCTGCTTTGCTGTTCCTTCATACTTAAAAGGCTTTTTCTTTCTAAATAGTCCAACTTGTTCTACTTTGTTTCCTCTTCTACAAAGTTACAGACGTTCAATATGAAATAAGCTTCTGCCTAGAAACAAGCTGAAAGCAGTGCCTTTCCAAATTACTCATGGTGTTTCATGAATAGATAAAAATAAAGATAGTTTTATGCATCTTTAACAGATCTGTTACAAAGCTAATAGGAAAGTATGTTACATGTCAGCTTTGATGATAAAAAGCCTATTACAGACTTTGGCAATACATGCCAACAATGGAACAGAGCACAAGCATTAGTCTATTAAAAATAATTAGTGTTACGATAAGGGTCGAGGAAGAATTACAGAACAAGACACTGGATATAGAGCTTTTTTGTTAATGTGCTTAGAATGACGAAAAATCAAAGTTTTTTAACTTTAGGTTTACTGATATCAACTTTTTCTCTACTTTAAGGAACAGGTATTAACTTTTTTAACCTAGTATTGCTGATAAAGTCCTAGGTTTATCACCAAATTCAATACAGAGAAAGTTAATAGCCTTTTATTTCCTTCATTGAGTTTACTTCAGGCATATGGCAACAATTTGTGATTAATCAAAATCCCTCTGTCATGGAAGCCACTTTCTCCTGTTGCTTAGTAGAACTTTAACAGAGCAGCAAAATGTTTTTTATTAAAAAATAAAAAAGCACTATAAAACAGATGCAAAAGCTAAAAGCATTTAGACAGTTTTTTAAAGTAACAAAATGTTAAACTGTCAAGTTTGTCTTTATCTTATTAAGTAACAAATCCTAATCTCCTTAATTAGCCATTGTAGAGCTGTACTTCTTAGTACAAAGTTTCTGTTCAATAAAACTTTCAGGATTCCAAGCTCTTATTGCTTAAAGTATTAGGGAGAAAAATAGGTGCATTTGTCTTCTTTTCAGATAAATATAATAACACATAATAAAACATGTTATGCATATTGTTCTCATTACAAATTCCAAATTAAAGCACTCAGTACATTTTAGGATCACTCATGTTAAGAAGTTGGGCATACAGCATATACTCCTAAATCATAACTCAAGATACTATTATAATATGTAGCTTTTACTTAATCCTACCACTCACTTTAAGTTGCTTAGCTAACCTCAAGGTAAAATTGATTTTCATTGGATAGGAATTCTGCAAAAATATTTAGCTACCTGGCTGCCTCCTTTTGTTTGCCCTCTTATAACCCCAGTTGCATGTATGAGTTTAATGGTGTAGGATTGCTCTTAATTTCCTCCTTCTACTTTTTCCCCCGCAGGAGGCATCTGTTCTAAAAGCAGCCACTATATCTACCATGTGGATATCCAAATAGCCTTTACTGTTTACTATGATTGCTTTTCTTAAGCATGGAAACATACAGCTGTTCTTGAGAGTTATTCAGATCTACAAATGTGCACCCTTGCTCTCCTTTTTAAGCAGCTCTAAAACTTAACTACATACCAAATTAGATTTGCATATTAATATCAGTTATGTTAAACAGAGATTCAACATTTTTGAAATCTACAAAACAACCACCCTTAAATTACGTATATTTTTAAGAAAAAAGTTTCAACTAATTTTATATAATTACTATAGATAGAATTATCATAATTTATACTGTACCTGAGCTCCATAAATATATTTATCCAGCATTTTGCCTCCTATTGTTTGCCCCCCTACATCCCACACTTGAAGAGTAACATTCAAATTTCCTGAAAAAGAAAGTCATACAGACACTGTGTGACATGGAAAGTTTAGATACAAATAAAATTAAAGATATCACAGCAGGTAATAGAGCTCTAGCATATCAACAACAATAGCTTTTTACAAGTATATAATAAATAGTAACTGCATTTCAACAAAAACATGACTGTATCACTTGGGAAAAAAGTCACCTGTGTCCAGCTACATCAGTAAGAGGCAGTATTACTATAGCTAAATATTAACATTATTATTGAGAGATAATAATTGGAATTGCAGAAAGTGTAACACTCCTGACTAGATATTACATAACATACATTGCTGAAGAAACATGTAAAATTTTACAGAAAGTTCTATAGCCCAATACTTGGAATTGAAAGGTAGTAACGTCAACCACGTTATTTCATAATCTGCGTCTTGTCCTCCCCTGCTCCAAATCTTTTTTTACAGATGTAGAAAAGGGAAAATCTGCAGAGTAACCGTATTTTGGTAGTGATGCCCTCAGTACTATACAGTTAGAGAATTACAGTTCACACATTAAAAAAATGGAAATACTGGGACATATCTAAGTTAAGGTTGCAAACTATAATTATTTTCTCCCCATCTCAAACCAATCAACTAAATAGGACATATTTTATGTAAATTTATCTTCAAAAAACCAGCACCAAGAATAGTTCTTCCTTTCTACTCTAAACTGTCTCTAAGCTATGTTGAAACTCTTAACAGGTTTAAATTCTTACTAGGTTTTCAAATAAAAAGAAAACAAATCAGTATATATGTAGGGTCTTTATTATACTACAGGTCATACATATTCTGCAAGCTAGTAACTCAGAAACCCACAGACTAAACATACACGCACAGCAATGCACGTCACCACATGCACACAAAGAGACTGAAGCATCATTCGGCCCATCTTGCATGGTGAGAACTGTTGACAACTGTACTGAGTACCTGGAAGCACTGAACTAACAGTAAGGTCTGATGAAATATTTTCTGATCTACATAAACCTCATACAATTTAAATGTTCATAACAATCCTACATACTAGCAAATAATCATAACCGCCTATTAATTTTATTCCTAGATTAAAAAAAAAATTTGAAAGAAAATGCACATCACAGCTACCGAGAGTCCAATTTAAAAAAGAACACAGTTATTTGGACTGCTAAGAAAGATATATTCTTATTTCAACTATCTTATCTTATTAGCAACCTTATTTTACACAGCGTGACCTATTCAGCCACCAGTTTATAACTAATAAGCAGGAGTTATTGAAGTGAGTGTGCTCCATGGAAATATATCCCAGTGTTTGGTGAATATAAATAGCAAATTAGAACTATATAGCTGAATATATCCTACTTATGCTATTAAATATACCACACATTTTTACGACGCAACTTGCTTTAATCTGGTTAAAAACACAGATTTCCTAAACTCCTACTTTGGTCTTAGATACATAAAGATGCATGTGAGGCAATTTATTACAAATACTTTTAAGCTACATCGAGTTTCATCTAACACAAAGATAAAAGAATTTCTACATGGAGCTTAGTAAATAGATCACAAACACCCCAGTTCCATAAAGACAATCTTTCATAGAATAAAAAGCTTTTTGTTTTGACACTGCATGTGCTATGTATTAATGAATTATTTTTAAAGCTTAGGACATAAGTGACTGCAAATAATGCAGGAAAGTCTTCCACAAAGCTTCTGGTGTGGATAAACTCGCAAATTCACAGTCTGAAATGACTGTGCATCCTCGTTGGGTAAGCAAACTAAACATGTTCAAGAGCTTACCATGCTGCAGCATTCCACCTCTCATCTGGTTGTATGTATTCTACTGGAAATTTACCATGTAATTCAGGTCAGCTATTTAGAAAAAAGCTTTACAAATATTATCACTTTCAAATTGAGCAATTTCCAGGTGCCTAATTTTGTGTTCAAATAGCCTAAACTGCTTCTTACTTCATTTTCCCTCCTAAGAGTACTAATAATGCATAGCATACCAGGCTTAGGATCTGGATAACCGTATGAAATCATCTGGGAAATTTAATGCAGGAAGATAAATTAAATGGTCTAACAGCAATTGTTAAACTTAAAAATCTAATCTTATTAATTATTTACTATGCTTCACTACCAACAGAAAAAAGAAAACTGGGGAAAAAAAGGTTAGAATGTTCATTAAATTGAAGTGGCCCTTAATAAGACCTCACCAACTACTGAAATTCATACTGATCATCTCTAGTGCAAAATGCTTCCTTTTCCCTTTTTTTTCAGTTAGGTCCTGTAATAATTGCTTTGTGCTCAGACTGATTTTCAGGGAGAAAGAAGGATGTTTGGATTAGTCTGAGAGAAGTAAAAACTCTGGACATTTTGCCTAGCAAATGTTTAATTAACAACTCAATGATAGCAGCACATGAAGCTTTCTGCAAAGAGTCTGAAATCTTCAATTTTTGATAGATTTAAGAGGAACGCGCAAACCAGAGAATGACAACAAAACAGAAATAAACCATGCATAATTAGACAGTTCTTAGAAACACAGTTAATACATCAATAAAAATAACTGAAGAATCCCATAACAACGATATGTAATATACTGATAAGGACCAGGAACAATAGCACTTCTTTACTCTGTAGAAAATGCACACAAGTGCAAAGCTGAAATAACTAAGGCAACGCAGTGTGAGTACCTAGAGTGTTCTGGTATGAACTGAAGCCATCGGGCTGATTCAGCAGAGATCCTGCAGAAATACACTTGGTGCATTAGTAAACCTTAAAGTGCTGGACAGTCAAGACAGAACTAAAAACACAAGTCTGCCCACGTTCTGCACTGACAACTCAAATCCTTTTAACAGAAGAATCCTGTTGACTGGACCGCATTCACAACCCTCCTAAAAGTATCTGATTACGCGTCTTAAGAATCTCTATCAGCAGAGCCTCTGACTAACACATACACTATTTAAGCAGCAAAACTGACACTGTGGTTGCATCCAGACTATACAAGATACTGCATCAATAATGATTTACATTTGAAAAAAATATATTGAAAACTACATGAGGAGAATTTGTCAACGGCTGAATACTAGAAGTCATGCCGTTCAAAATTAATCAGTGGATTTACTATTTGCATTAAAATATTGTTTTATCATGTAAAATATTGGTTTTTTCACTGCAAAACTGCATTGGTTACTAAAACAACTGGAGATAAATACAGTTTTTTATGTTCTAAAAGCAAAAAAAAATAGGAAAACAGTACTTTATTTTACAAGCTAAAATGCATTTCTAATGTGGCCTAATGTAAACTTCTATGCAATTCTAGAAATCAGTAATTTTCACTTCTGAAATCTCTGCTTACATTTTAAGAATAAAAAAAAAATCAAATACTGAACCATAGTTACTCATCAATTCCCTTATAAATAAGAGAAATTAAGGCTTTTTTTTTCTTTTGATATACACATTATAACTTCTGTGCAGTGGTACGAACTAACACTTCAAGTAAACCTAGCAGATCTGCAAACCCAGAACTAATCAAGAAATTAGAAAAATCCGCTTAAGTAAGTAATGCTTCCCATTCCAGGATTTAGAAATTTTACCTCCCTTCCTCTTCCTTCCCTCTCGCTCTCCACCATCAATTCAGCTTGTCCATAAAACACAGAAATCCATATATACCGAAACACATATAGAGGCACAGGCAAAACGAGAATGACAGTCTAAAGAAATATGCTTCTTCCTGAATATGAATACATTCCATGAACTTGTACTATTCTGTTAATGATAAATGAGCAAAATAGATGTACAGAGTTTGTTGCTGTTCTGGTGCTATTTTCATCTACATTCCAATTTTATTACAAAATAAACTAGAAGAAAGTAAAACATGAATGAATCAATAGTTGATAATTTTCCAAATTTTCTACTCAACAAGAATATTCAGAATCCCAGCAACGTACTAATAGCTTCTGTATGCTTAACAGCTGAAAAAAAAAACTTGCAGAACACAAGTTCTCAGCATGCACACTGCATGATTTGTGTACACATTCCACTTCCAAGTACTGCTGCTAAGTATTATGCACACTGGTATTTTTAGAGGCATGAGCAGGACAATACAAAAATTATTCTGTTGATTTTATGGAGAAATAAGCACTGAAATTTGGTACTTTATCACTCACCAGATACTAAAAAAGTACAGCAAAATGGCCAAACCAAAACAGTGAATGTACGAATAGTCTGAAAAAGATTATTCTGTTTCATTTAATAAAATATATAAACATAGTCAAAAAAATATTGGCAATAAAAATTTAAAAAAAATAAGTTCAAGAACTGTATATATTTTTGTATAACTTCAGGTTACAGAATGCTTCATTTCTGAGTTGACTTCCTTTCCCACTCTACACAAGTAAAAGCAGCAGAGCTACAGAACTCGCATCAACTTTATCAAATCTCACTGCAATTTTAATAATTACACATACTTATTTCTAACTCCTGATTTCTGAAGCCAGAAGAAAATGCATTTAATGAAATATTTTCATACTGCGAAACTGAGCAGCCACAAGTCAGTGAAAATAATTATTTCAAAACCCCAATTGTTCAGAGACAAACTTCTACCAGTAACTATTCTTTTTTAATTACTTCTCTACATTTTCTATGCAGTGTGCTGCAACTGGCATCTAAATAGTTTCTTTGCCGTCGTGAAGTGAAACATCTTGAATGCTCAAACTGTATTTTTATGAGTGTCGAGGGACCCTAAATTTTAGTGGTCTATTAAATGCCAGCAATTTCATGCTGCCTTGCATAAAACAGCATTCACATATTAGAGCACTGCAATTCCATAGCTGCATTATGCTTCTCTCACACAACTCAAATACAAGCTGCATATTTCATTTTAAAAAAAAATTTCTTTCAAAACACATATATTTTCTCAATTAATATATCTGAAGTTCCATTTCATTGCATGTTACACTATCCACATGGACAGCAAGTACCTTCAAGTGGAGATAATAAAAATCACTAATATAGATAGCATTTCTTTTATTTGAATTCAGTGCTTTACTTAAAGATGTAAGTTGCAAATGCGCAACCCTCTGTTGTCTGGCAAGAAAGTAGTAACAAAATTTTCTCTGACATATAAAGCACTGTACCAAGCTTATTTAGTATATATTACTTTGAAGAATCTGTTTCTGTGAGTCTTACTGCTGCTCAACCTTTCAGTGTTAGTTTTTATCCTCTTACCTGGCAGTAATATGCTCCTCAAGAAGAAGTCCAGTCCTATGGTTTGTTTGTACTGTTTTCCAAATGTTTCCTGGGCAAAACGTGTAGCTAAGGATGTCTAAAACAGAACAATATCAAATTAAGTTGTAGTTTTAAACAGAAAAAAAATATTTTAAACCAGAAATATCAAATACAGCTAAACTCTTTTTAAATCAACACATGCTGACAGCGTTCACGGATTTAGACTGACAAGCATTCCAACCAACTTTAATATAGTAAGAGGCGGTGGCAAAGGCTACTAATTTGTGCAAAAAAGTAACAATGTGCGTATTTCCTTTCTATTTCAAAGATACTGTGATATTCACAACACAAAATACTACACAGATTTGAATGAGCTATCATCGGTACGCTCAAACTGACACAAATCTAAGTGACACTATCCATACCTTAAGAGGTTATTTTTCAAGAGCATTCAATTTCCAAGCAAGGGTCTTTCCCTGGTACAGAACACCACGATCTCAAACTTTCTGGGAGGGAACAGAGATGTGCATAGAGCGGAGTCCCACAGGGGCTCCAAAGTGCGGCAGGATTCCTGCCACTGTACATCAAATTTTCAGGACGAGGGATTATATGAAGCCTAAGATAGGAAGAGTACTTTCCTGTACACAAAAAAAACTACACTCACATTACAAATGCATATTTGCATAATCATTCCTTTAAGCAGAACTTTGGAAACTTATTTCTTAATTACTATTTTGTGCATTTATGAAAGTAGACCAATACAATGTTGACCTAATAATCACTTTTTACTACATACTGCTAAAAGGATGCACAACTAACTTACATAAAGTAATGAAGCAAGGCATTTATATTCTTTTAGGAGTAATTTAAGTGCTTCATGCAAGGGATAAAAAAAAGAAAGGGGAAAAAAAAGGAAAAAAATTCCCACTTAAGGTTAAAGGGGAAAAAAAAAAAAGGAGAGATGCAATTATAAATACAGAAGTTTGTACTGTGTAAAATGTTAAATACCATATTGAAAAACGAATGTCACATAGATATATCTTACACCAAATTACTGATGAACACTTAAAAATCTCTTGTTGACATGATATTGGAAAATAAAAGAGTAACTGCAGGAAAAAAAAATCTAAATATTACATTTACAAATGTGGAGGGGGAAAAAAAAAAGAAGCCTAATAGCCCCACAAAACCCATACACTGAGAAAACTCAAAATGGGCAAGAAGGAAGGTTTTTGCCAGCCTTCTCTTCTTCAAGACCTGAAAGTATGAGTCACATCATTATTAGAAATTGCTGTTAGAGAGTATTTAGTCAAAAACGCAATAGCAAAATAATGTCAATACTTCTGAAAAACGAGACTAGGCAAGTTCTATTAATAGAATGGTTATAACAAAGATCTAAATTACGCTAATAATGTTAAATGTACATAGGAAGAAAATGTAAATTTTTTTTGTCTAAAAACATGATTGCCAGAGCTCCAGCATTAAAGCTCTAGTATTAATAGGCAAACATTTATTCAACTATTAAATTACATGTGAAGTAAGTAATACAAGATGTACTATTCATTTGCTTCTATACCACATTTATATTCCTATCACTGTCATATATTATAACAAATGATATTTTGATATCAGAAGACATGTTTAGAAAATAATGCAAAAAATGAATTAAAGACTGCGAAAATATTTTCATTTACTTCACTGAACTTAAGCTCCAAGAGGATTAAAAATAAATAATAAACAAATGGGGGAAAAAGCAAGTAAACTAGAAATAGCTTGAGTATGCTTGTATATTTATATCACTGTGGAAAGGGTGAAGACCACAGAGGATGAATCATGAGAAGATTCTTCTGCCTATAGCTATGTAACAGTAATACTAACAAAATGCACAGAAAAAAACAATACAAATTTCAACTGCACTAGTGAAAAAGTCAGTAGAACTGATTCTTTCCATCACAACAGTTACAATGTCAAGATTACAAAGACATTACTTTCAATCTGTCTTGATCTTAAAGATGTAGATAAAAATAAGAACATTGCAGGAATACAATATACAGTTCTTGAAATTTTCCTTTTCCAAAAAGTAACCAGTACTCACAGTACAGATTAAAATATCATCTGACTATATCATAGTATTACATATTCACACTAACTTAGATTCCCATTAAATAAGCAACCACTCCCTTCTTGTTTTAAGGACTCAGTAAATATTAGCTTTATCACTCTGTGACACTCAGTATTCCCTGAAGGCTTCTAGGGGTGTTAGCAAAAACAAAAACATATATTCAATTAATAGCCGACCAATAAGAAAAGCAAGTAAACAACAGCATGGCAAAGTTCTCTTAAACAGTTTTCCCCTGCTGTACTCTTGAATACAAAGGAATTTACAGTAGAAAATTATTGACTAACTCCTTTTTAATTTTTTTTCTAATAAATGTTAGAGCTCAAGGAAGGTGTTGGATTACCAGAGTCCTCTATTTATTCACAGAACAAGCATTTATCCACAAAGTATTAAGACCAACAGCTCGAACTTCTCTGCAACAGTAAACAAAGCAGTTATGTCAATGGATATTCAAGCACCTCCACAATGCAAATATTTGCTTCAGTCCTAACATTGTTCTATCACATCTGCCATAGAAGACTTTGCAGTACAGTTTTGTCTGTCAGGATTTGTTGATATGTTTTGCATACAACGTATGCAAAAAAAAAAAAGCAAAGTCAAATAATGATTCCACAGAATTGTATCTGTAAAAATAAATAAGTGATCGGTGACTGCTTTTAAAAAATAATATCTTCCATTCATAAAGTTTTGTTCATTGATGTAGAGATCAGAGAAGAGTATGATATCAAGAAGACCTTGTTCCTTCACATCTCTACTAAGACAACCAGGCCACCAACTTTCATAGCAGACTTTCCATTAGACTCAGTTTGGCAAGGTCACATGTCTGTCTTAAATACTACAAAGCAAACATTTATATGCTTTTCTGAATAGCAATACAGTACTGAAGGTTGGTGTTACCAACTCCCTCTTTTCAGAAAAAAAAAAAAGTGTTTGAGTTCTAACACACAGCAATCAAGACAGTAAAAATAATACATAAAAATTACAGTATGCTAAGTGCAAAATACAGTGGGATATTTGGGAAGGATTTTTGGAAACAAAGAAGCAATAGAACCTCACAGGCAAGGCAAGACAATTTCTTGCTTCTATTTTTCAATGTCAACAATTCATAGTATAAATTGCGGGCAAGCTGTTCCTAAACAGTCGCATACTGAGTAAATAGAATAGAAAAAAAAAACAAACAATATTTATTAAATTAATTGAGAAATAAATTCAAATAAATTGAAAGTCAAACAGAACAAGCAATGATAACCAGCCCTGACTGACACTAAGTACTCACCAGGACAACACAGGAACTTGTAGAGAAAGCCCTGCAAATGACAACTCTTTGTGTAAAACCCTTCAGAAGACATCAGAAAGCAATGCCAAAGTGTACTACAATAGTTGTAAGAAAGAAAAACTAGAAACAAAATTCAATGGGATGCAAACCCATAGTTCTGAAGCCATTAATTTCCATTCACATACCAACTTTATCAGCCAGTTGAGAATCTACTTTCCCAAAAAAACAAAATAAAAGCAGCCCATCTATCCCTGCTCTCATTACCTTCTGGAATATCGATGCCATTCTCCAAGCACAGCAACACTCAGCCCTCGGTCATGTCCTATCCCTACTAGCAAGAATTTTAAGACAGACAGAATGAAAAGAAACACTAGGCTAAACAACAAAATGCTTTAACTAATATAAAACCACAAAATTGCCCAGAGAGTTTCTCCCTGAGAACAATCTAGCTTGGGAATGCGAGGGGATAGTTTGTAAACAAAGGAAATAGTTCTGTCATCTACAGCTGACATCTTTCCAGCCCACTTTTAACTCATGAGACTAATCTTTCCACCAAAAAATAGAAAATTATCAACACTTTTTGACGCTAGATGTAGATCTATGAAGTTAGGCCAATCTGCACAGGGAATTTGATGCAATTTTCCATTTGCAATACAGAGCAGTGACAACAATGCTTTTGTCAATATTGAGCCCATGTGTAACCACAAGATCCAGAACTGGCACCATGCTTAAAAATCTGGCATCCTAAGAAGTCCTAAAGCAGGCAGGACAGCAGTCTGTGTTCCAGCCTACATTTCAGCTCCTGAAAATTCTCACTAGGCTGAGGATTCGCTCTTTCATTTTCATCATCTGTTGTTAAGAGGAGAAGGAAAACATTCCATACTTTAGTCTCAGCTTGCAACAGATGACAGAGAGACAGAACCTCAGCTGCTTTGACCCTCTGGCATACCTATTTTTCGGGACCTCCTTTCCCATGAATAGCTCCACAATTTGCTTCCAGAGGCCCAAAACTTTTTCTAAAGGTAGCAAATTAGAGTAATTCTAGCTCAAATCAACATCATTATATACCTCAGTACTAAGCCAACCTGTGCATAGTAAGAGTAGAAATACCCAGATCATAATAACACCATTTTTTCAACCCATACTAGTACTGCTAGTTTATTTTAATGGAAGATCATTCTGGTTCAGGAAGAACGAGTTGATTTAAAACCCAGACGCATCACGCTGCTATGTGTATATATATATATTCCTTCTTGTAATCAAAGTCCAAGAATCAACTGCTATTAATAATTGCCGCTTATTTTCATCTCGCATTGTCCCAGCTTCTGACTTTCAGACTGTTCTCCTGGTTTGCCTAGTTAATTAAAATCATTCTCTATTATTATCTTCTTAGTAACCAATCTTGCCTTCCTCAATTTTTCTTTTAAACAATTTACCATTTCCTTACTGTCTTTATTTTATTCCAATACTTTTTCAGATTCAACTCTGTCTCACTCCTTTCATAGCTTCTTCTGTTTTCACTCTTCCCTCCTTACAGCTTGCTCCAGCAGTGCTTACTCCTACCCTTAAAATCTAAATATCCGATTATTCATTCAACTACCACAAAACAAATTAATAGATACACAACATCCTTTTCTTGCCTTATGGACAGAGCAATTCCTAGCTAGTGGAAACACAAATGCTGTCCTTGGCTTGAACCATC